CTCGGAGTACTCGAAGGGCTCCTGCAGCAGCGACCTCTGCTGGGTCTCCGGCAGACGCACAACGCGCGCAAAGTCCGACAGCCTGTGGAGAAAGTGTTTCGCGTGAATGTCGGCATTGGAGAAGTCAAGCGAGAGAACCTACCGATACTGATCCTTGTAGAAGATCTCGTCGAACGTGCTCAGCGCCTGCGTCTTGAAGCACTCGGACAGATCACCGCCCAGGCAGTTGCTATTGGTGCGCGCCAGATAGGGATCATTGTCGTTGCCCAGCCCGAAGATGCTCAGCAGCGAGGAGCGACCACGTTCCTCTCCAGGCTGAGCTGGCTGCTGTGGCTGCTGCTGCTGGAACTGCAGCGTCTGCTGCGGCTGCAGTTGCGGCTGCAGCTGCGGCTGCGGGGCGTATATCTGCTGTATGTTGTTGGACGACTGCTGGTCGGGCAGACGCAGTCCCTCGCCGGCGACGAGGCCGAGGCCGCAGCACGAGACGATGGTCAGCAAGGCGAGCGCGTTCATTGTCATTGGCTGCAAGACAAGACAAGAGTTCGAGGCACGCTCAATAAAAAGCTCAAGAAACAAAAAAAACGATTTTCGGATTTTGGGCAATTGTGTCTGAACCGGTAAAACGGCGACAATCGGTGTTTTCTCTGCGATTGGTTTGTCGGCTCTGAGCACAACGTGCGACTTGTCTTACGAACTACGAGTATATATATGTGCGTGTGTGTGTACTCTGCTTTTTGGCAACTTTTATGCGCCGCTCATCGTTTGCTTATTGACCAAACTGATTGGCTTTTAACAGTTGCGGGCTCGGCTCACAACTGACACACTTTTCAGCTGCTGGGGAATCGCGTTTGTCATGGCCATTGCCGAAGCTTTTGGCCGCTTTTGGCCGCTTCTGCAATTATTTGCGCACACGTAATAACTCTCACTTTCCAGCCAGCAGCCAACAGTTAGCAGCCAGCGTTGGCTCAACAAAGCGATAGGCGAGCTTTCTGCTGCTCTGGCGCCGAATTTTAACTCGACTGCCCCCCCGCGCAAAGTGAAATGCAATCAAACTGGTTTTTTTTTTCGTTATTTCGCTTGGGTTTTTTTTTTCTATTCTTCACTTTGTGCTCGCTTAACCCTTTGGCCGCAATGAGGCGGCAAAAGCAACTGCACGTAATTGAAATTGTGTTAAATGCAAGAGGCAAGGCTAATCTACTGTACAAACTGAAAGAACAGCTGCGAAGCAACGAAGATCTAATGCACTGCATAAGTGTAAAAAAATATATTTAACAGATTTTATATAACATATTGAAATATCTACAGATTTCCCCTTCATTGAATTGGGGGACAAGGCAAAATATTTATAAAATTAATTTAATATGGAGCTTAAATGAAACTCGCAATTATAAATTGATCAGTAATCATATTTGACAATATTATTAAATCTGTTATTTATTTATATATTACATATATAATCTATTAAAAATTAATTATATGCATGCATGTGCATATATTTGGTTGATGCATCAAACTATTGCATACTTTAAAGCTGCGCATCATATTTACTAATTTAAATTTCTACTGCATACTTTTGTGCTAACAAACAACAGATTTTTGCAGAATTGACTGCTCTGGGCGGCTAAACTCCCTCTTTCTGAATTCAAAAATAATTTGCCCATTTTATCAGAAACTTGAAATATGAAAGGTCAAACTAAATTCGAAGACCTGATCAATCAGCAGTAAACAATGCTGTCAGAAAACACCAATAGATTTCCAAGGAACTCTCGAAAAGTGTATAAAGAAGGTCAACCCTTGTTCACGGTTATTGCCCCGTGGCCATATGAAAACAGTCCGTCCAAAATGTAATTGGTCGTAGCTAATTCGATCGAAAAACCCGAAAATTGTATGGGGTTGTAAATAATACTCCGCTTTTCTCATGCTTCCACATAAATGCCACGTAAGCATCTATATTCCTCATATAGTTTAGAGGAAATTATACTATTAAGTGAATGCACCGGAATTCTGGTGAACGAAAATAATGGAATATTGTGCAACATTTATGAGCTGTACGTCCCCTTCAGCGTCAGCCAGCAGCTCTTTTGCTTGTCGAACGCTCAGCAGCAGGTCGATTGATTTTCTATCAGTGGGTCTGTGGGCGGGCTACCTTTTGCTGGCCCCCAAATTTGCAGTTTAATCAATGCAGCAGAGCACAAAGAACGCGATTGCATTGAATTTCGTTGATGGCAGTGCTCGGAAGCGCCGCAAACTGTGCAATGAGGGGAGCATTATGGCAAGTGGAAATGTTTATGGCAGAATAAATGCGGGCGCACACAAGTAGGTAGCGAGCTGTAAACTCTTAACGAAACTTTACATATTCTGGAGCAGCCGCAAAGTATGCTACATGAATTTAACAACGGCCCTTATTGGGGTAGGGCAGTAAATTTGCATTTAATTTAAAGTGTAATTTATGAATATGCATAAATGTTGCCTTTAAATTAAAATTAATTGTCTTTTGCCAAAAATTGTTGCTCAAGAGGGGTAAACTATTGTCAGTAAATCATTGCAAAATTGTTGCCAAATATTTGTGTGCCTCGATTTGTTTGGCTATCAAATTAACATTAAGCATTGAAGGTCAATGAAATGCTCGGCGCATCGAGTTTGCGTTGCCAAAGATATGCAAATGAGTGCGATTGCCCAATTAATTTATAATCAAGCGTTCACATTAAACAAAAACAACAGATGTATATATGTACCATTATAACACTCTCAATATTGTATGGCTTTTTCTTTTTCCGTGTCACTTTTCTTTTTCTTTTTCTTGGCTTTTTGCGCATATTGCATAACGCGTCGCACTTCATTTCACTTCACTTTTTTTTTTTGGTGTGGACTTATTTACCTTTTGATGCTTCCTATAAACACTTGAGAGTTTGTTGAGCTTAATCCTTAACGGCTCACTTAAGACTTCAGACCAGGCCTTTCAGCTGGCTTCCAAGCGACTGTGCTGCTGCCGCTGGCCGGCAAAGATTTTATATGAAATGCGAGAAGTGCCGAGAAAGAGGTGCCAGCAAAAACGTTGTTTTTGTGCCGCAAGCCGACGCACACAAAAAAACAAAAACAAAAACAAAACAACATCCATAAACAATGGGTCAGAGCAGAGCCAGCGCAGAGCCAGAGCCCAGACGGCAGCTCCAACCTACAATGCTGATGATGGCTGAGAGGCACTCGCCCGATCGGACGGCTCCGACTGGCCATTCGAGATGTTATTAGAGAGACGTCAACACGCTCGCACTTGCGGTAGGTCTGGGGTCTGGCCATTGGCTATGTAGGTCTGTGGGCTGCGGCGTCAACGACTTTGCGTCCGGGCCACGCGGGCCGCGCGTTGCGAGCGCCTTGAGAAAATCCCAAAATTATTGTGGCGCACGTCGAGGCCTTGGTTTAATTTCGAGTTTAATTTCAAGAGGCCGATGACTCAGCGTGCGGATCAGCGGGAAAACGTACGTCACAGCCAGTCCAACAGATTATGTAACGCCGAGCACAGGTAATAATCACTTTTACTGTTCAAACTCAACTGGTTTCGACTCGTCCCCGCCCACGAGCAGGGGCTCTGTTTACAGTCATGGCAAAATGTGAACAAACTGTTTCCAGCCACACACACACACAAGGTTCAAAAACTGCATTGGCCCATTTTTTGGCTGCTGCGTCTCTTTGTGTAGCATTTTTATTGGGCAAACCCCCGAGAAGTCAAAGCCATCAAAGCGGCTAAGATTTAATTGGGAAATTCCCAGTTCGGTTGCCATTTCCATGTGCTTTCCCGTTGCTGCGGCAATTGTGAGCTGAGAAAATTGCACTCACTCACAGCCGGAGGTGTAATTACCATTTGGGGCAACACGAAGGCAACTCGAGCAGTCCACAACTTTAATCCTAAAATGCGGGCCTGTGACAATGTTGATGTGGGTTGGACATTTGTGGCAGCTGCCATGCTGCTCAGCTCCAATTGCAATCCAATTAGCCGATTCTCTAGCAAATTGTACTTGCAACAAAAGAAATAAATTGCCAAAAGTACTCAACAGGCAGATACTCAACAAAGTTACATTTCTCTAAATATTAGCTGTGTATACATATTATCTGATTTGACGTAGGATCGAGTCTCTATTAAATAACTTGTTAGCTTGAACTCATCAGAGATCAGAGTCAAAGGGATATATCCAAATGGACTCAGCTGTTGATGCTTTTAAAGAAAGTAGGTATATACTCTCACTTATCTGATTGCAGGGTATAATTATATGTGTGGAACTGTATTCACATGGCGTGCGAGCTCAACCTTTCAACTTGATGATGGGGTCGCCAAAACTTTTGAAGCGGAAATGGTTTGTCAGCCACGCACACATATACATATAATGCATACATATGTATATGGGAGGGACACACAAAACTGTGAAACGAGGGGCAAAAACTAAATTGCAAATTAAAAGCGCAAAAGTATGTTGCGAATGTTGTGGTCCGGGATTCTTGATGCTGCTGAGAACCAAATTTGTCCACAGAAAATTGTTGACTGCTGCAGAAACTCAATTGTTTGTTAGAGAAATGTAGAAATTTGTTGAAACTAAAATTATTCAAAATGAAATATGCTGCTGTAGATTTGGGCTGAGAATATATTCAATTAAAATATTCAATCAACAGGCAAAACTAAGCTCTGGCTGTCATACCAAATTTTAAATATTCAAATAAAAAATAAATGTAGAAAATAAGTTTTCGAAATTCATGTCATTTTTTTATTCCATTTTGCTTAATCCCAACCCAAAACTCTTAAGCTCCAATGAAAATCGTTTTGTCAACTTTATAATACATATAAAAATTTATTGATTGTTTTTTTAGGAGCTTAAACAGCTTTAAGCAATTGATGCTGACTAAATGGATAACAGTATTAAATAAGGTATGATTTAAATATATATATATTAAATAAATTAAATAAATAATTTAAATAAATACATTAAATAACTTGACTAAATGGCTAAAAATAACAGTAAATGTTTAGCTTTGTAATTAAACTATTTAAACACAAGAAATTCTCTATTTACAGCACACACTAATTAAAGCCCCGAAACACACAACCCGCCTTCCACCGACCCGACGCACATTTCAACAAACGAATATATATATAGAGATATGTGTGTGCGTGTGTGTGTGGTATATGTATTCATGTATGGCTAGGCTAAAGTAAAATTTGCATAATTACAGCCACAGGCATCAACACCTGGCACCTGTGCCCCTCGCTCCTGACTTGCGTGCGAACTTTGGCAAACCTTCGGATCGTTCGGCCTACGCCAATTTGCGTGCCTGGACCAGTTTGTTGATGTCGTTGTAGGTGGAGAGCATTGCTGGATTTTCGAAATCCTTGAATTCCTTGCATTTGACAAACGACTGCTCGCAGTCGATGCCATCCTGGCCATCCTTGGCCGCGCGCATGTACTTGAAGAAGCGCAAGATGTCCGGATTATCTGAGGTCGGCTTGCGCAGTTCATTTAGTTCGCTGAAATACGAAAATAAATCAAATAATGAACAGGTTATATTTGAGAAATTTCACACATCGCCACATCCATTGCATAATTTGAGGCGCGCACAAATACTCACCGACTGAGCTGGGCCGAGACGAGATTGCTGTACGGGGCATACTTTGCGGGATTGGCGTACATCAGACAGATGAGCTTCTCGCGACAGTTCTCGTTCTCGGAGTTGAGCTTCAGCTGGGCAAACACCGAGTCCAGGCGGGACAGCAGGGGACTGTAGAAGGGATCGTAGTTGGACAGCAGCAGCGATGAGCTCGGCACCTTCTGGAAGGTCTGGAATGTGTTCATGTTGGCCGGCGATGCCGGCTTCTTGGCCATGCCGGGCGCTGCCATGCCGCTGGAGGAGCCCGCCGAGAGGCTGCCCGAGTTCTTGAACGAGGCCGCGCCAATGCTCTGCAGCGCACTCAGGTACGTCTCCTGCATCTGCTGGCCGCCGTAGCGCGAGTGCGTCGGCGAGTTCAGCGAGTTGCCATTGTAGGTCGCATACTGTGCCTGCTGCTGCGAGGCCTCTGTCGAAGATAGGGTATTAGCTAAGCCTATGCAATTAGTGCCAGTTAGACAAACCTGCGTTGAATTCGTAGCCAGCATTCGGCTTGGCCTCGTCGGCAAAGCCAAACTTGTTGTCCTCCTCAAAGTTGACGCTGTTGTCCCTAAAGTCCAACTCCTGCGGCGGCTCCATGGGACGCACAAACAACGGCACCGAGCTGGCCGAGCCCGTCGTGATGCCTAATCAAGTGAGCAGTTGAACAATTGAAAAACAAATAAGAGTGAACCAGTCGGGCGGGATCGACTAGCAGATACCCTCAACCTGGCACCGAGCTACCTCTACACTAAAGATTCCCTGGTTCAAGGAAATTATAATTATAATCGACCAGCAACCTTCAAGGTGCCCCGCCCCATCAGGAGACTAAGGAGGAGAACTCTTGAGCAGATACTAGCTCCCCCAACTCCAACAGCCACTCCCACTCACCTGCAGGGCGACGCGGCCACCTTCCCTCAGGCCGACCACCTGATAGCTTAATTATGGAAACAATGTTAGCCAAATCCAAGATCAAGTTTCTATATTATTAGAAATTCGGCGACTTTTAACTAAAGACACATAACACATATAATTTAAAAAAAAAACCTTCCTTCTATAGCTTCGCTATTTATAGCCCTTAATAAGATTTTGGCAGTCAAATGTGTGAAAGTGCCAATAAGAAGAATGAAATATAACTTACAGAGCAAGAGAAAACTTAATGCTGGACCGAGTCTGATCCAGCCTGTTCCAACAATGTTCTGTATACAAGCAGACGGACAAATGGACCTGGCTACATCAACCCGACTCAGAGACAGCTTCCTCTGAGTGTTGCACTTTTTATGACCCAGTCATGATAACCTCTTGAACTTACCCTTGCCAATCAGACGACTCACGCTGCCAATAATTGTGGGCAGAAAGAGGGCGAACAGCAAACTCTTCAGCACCTGCAGGCCCATGTAGATGGGCCACATAAACTTCTTGAGGCCTGCCAGAAAATTTAGAGATTAGTGAGAGCTTCCACTTGGCAGATTCGTTCGCTTACCGGCAAAAAACAGAAGTCGAGCGCTTTGCACCGCACGCGGCACATTGAGCTCCACGTTGGCAGCCTCCAGGACGCTGCGCGCGAGCCTCAGCGGTTTTTCCGGCTGCGGACTTGTGTGATTCTGCTGCAGGGCCAGGACCAGGCCCGGCATGGGCTCGTATTTGCCCTCGGTGAAAAAATGCTGCACATAGTCAATGAGCAACTCCTCCAAGTCCTGCAGTTCGTTCTGCATCGCAGAGGAGCTCTCGTTCAGCTGGCCTGACCTCTGCAGAGGCTTCACTGTAGTTGTCGTTGTCGTTGTCGTTGTGCTTGTAGTTGGCCTCGCGTTGGGCTTTGTTTCCGCCTCCTGCATGTAGTCTCTGCGCTTCAGTGCCACGGCGAGTCGCAGGTCGCTCTCGCTCTCCACGGGCTGGAACACGCGATACTGGCCCGTTTTTGTGAATACATTACGGGAGATGAACTCGGGGCTGATGTCCCTGGGCAGAATTGGCTGGAAAGTGTTGTCATCGTTGCGCGCCACGCCCGCCATCGTTGTCAAGGGCTGGCTAAATGGGATGCCGCCCGCCGTTCCATTGTTCCTGGTGGCATGCCCCAGCTGGCAGAGCAGCAGCAGTGGCAGCCACAAAAGTGGCAACAACAGCGGGCTGCATCTTCTTTTTCTGTGCGTGTTTGTTTTTAATTTGGTCTGACGCCCGGCAACTACGATTGCCTTAGTTAACATTTTCATTTAAGTTTTTCTCCTTCTCCCGTGTTGTTATTTATTTATTTGTTGTTGTTGTTTTGCTTACTCGCCTGCAATTGCATGCCACAGATGCGCTGGCTTTGTTGCACGTTCTGCTCGTCTCTCTGCAATGAAAACGCGTTTAAGTTATTTCTCAATTTTGCGCGAGGTTTGGGCAATTGCCCAGAACTGCGATTCACTCGCGAATAAATCTTTTTACGGCACGTGCGTGACAGTCGGCCCGAATGTGACCTTCTGCAGCCGCAGCCACCGCACCACCCAAACCACCCAACCACCCAAACCACCGACGCGTTAATCAGTTTGTCTAATGCCCCCCCTGGAACCGACTCCCGCGGCGTTTTGTTAGGCGTTAAGCAAGCAATGCACGTCGCCGACTTTTTATTTGTCTTTGCCGGCGACGGTTTCTGACACGCCACGCCCCCGCCAACCCCCCCTCACGCCCATCGTTGCGGCCGTTTCGCGCTGCGCGAATTAAAAGTGAAAATGTACACAGTTTGTTTACATTTGCAGCACATTTCAGCATTTGAGTGGAGCTGCGCTTGACGATGTTTCCATCAACAACAACAACACAGATCACGATATTTTCATGTTGAATTTTCACTTTCGTTTTCGGCAAATGCTGCTGCTTGGATACATAATGAATGAGGCACGAAAAAAAGTATTACAGAATCGACATCTGGAGCGGTATTTACCCCAGAATAGTCTTAATAGTCAAATGAAATCGATAGCTGGGCATGCCCATTGGGCCTGCTCTTGTACAGGGTACAATTGCTGATGAGCAAAAGCGAATTTAATTAATTCATTTGCATCGTCCGCTGGCGGCAAACAATCTTTATTTAATTATGAGGCTTTTTTTTTGTAAAGAAATACACGATATTGAAAATTAACAATTTTATTTTCATGGATTTGCATTTGCTCTGGACCACATTTTGATACCAAATAAAGGCCAGACCTTACAACTACCAATGTTTACTTTAATTACAAAAATGTAATGTTTTATTTAAAGTGCTCATAAGAAATGTGATATGTGAATTTCCATAAATGTGCGCTGTGCCATACACACAGAGAAGCATCAAGGCTGCCTTTGTACACAGGTGAGTTCCAGGTAATGTTACATTTCAATGTTTTCGACATCTGCAAAGCTTATATCAGCTGGTATTTGTTAAAGGGAATATGATTTATTCAGTTGCAGTCTGCAGCTTTTCTGAGACTTACATTTAATACGAAATATTCATTTGCTTTGCCACCCAAGAAAAACAAACAAATTCCTTCAAACTTCATCAACGTGTAAGCAAATGCAAATATTTAAAATAGTTGTGCGAAAATGTACATATAACTATCGCAAATTATAAGCACATATAAAACAGAGATAAATGTAAAAAACAATTTTTTTTTTAATCCTCATAAATATACAACAAAAATAAGGAAATATTTAATATTTTTAAGTACTTTTTATTAATATTTAATTTTGTTCTAGTTTGTTAAGAATATTAAATTGAAAAGGTTGAATATTCTGTTGAGTATTTAGAACTTCTGTATGCAAAAAAACAGGAGCTTTCAAAATTCAGAATTTAGTAAAATTAGACGCATCGCCAAAACCGAAGCTTTAGATAATAATTACTTCAACTCAACTCAAATGGTTTCTCCAGCTGCTGGTTACTAGGTTCATTCATAGTATAAGCTCCCAATATGGACGCTTTGTTGTTTCTCGAAGTTTCTACTTCAGATGGTTTTCTTTGGAAAATTAATATCAGCAGTTAGAAGAATAGAAGTTGAAGGAAGTGCCAGTAGTTGCTTTCAGTTGTAAAACAAATTAGCACACACGCAACACGCACAACAATTTGTTATGGCTGTCCATTGAAGTGTTCATGTTTGTGCATTAGCTGCAATCATTTGTCATTTGCATTTTCAGCACTCTGCCATTAAATGGCAGTTGCAGCAGCAGCAGCAGCTTGTCCAAACGTTTCCAGCGAAAGGCACATCAGTTAGTTGGCCAAGTCGGGGCTCCCAACTTTAATTATACAAAGTCTGCATGATTTGAGGTAATGTGGTGCGCATCGCAGCGGTGTCTGCATGCAAATTAGCTGCCAAGAATGAATATTTTGAAACGCAGAACCGAAAGTCGACTGGCAGAACCAACTAACGAGTGCTTATCACGATGTCTGCATCTCTCTGTAGGGCAGCTGGCTGCAAGTTTTAAATGCTTAGCTTCACCTGGCTTCATGCTCTAATATTCTGCCCTCATATGGTGACTGGGGGCCAAACTTTGGCTCAGTTATTGCACTTGTCTGACAGAAGCGTTTAATCTGTTTAGCCGCGGCCTCAGCTCGGCTCAGCTCAAATCTCTCTCTGTTCTACGCGCAGCCACAAGTTTCTCAATTAATTCGCAAAACTTTAGAAACTTGTGACAGCCGCCGCTTCGTTGCTCTAATGCAAACTGATGGAATTGGATCATAAGTCGCGTCCAAGTTGTTGCATATGAATAACATTAGCTTTATATAAAGCCACAAGGGGCTAACAGCTTATAGAGAAGGGTCTTGTCGAGTAGGCTGTCGGGCAGGGAGGGGGGGGGGGGGGGGGGGGATAATAAGCTGGCTGTCATCATTTGCGACACGCTCGTGCACTCTGATGATGGTAATAACACAAAGTACAAAAGTTGGACAATGCCACAGCAACAGCAACAGCAGCAACAACAACTGCTGCAACAAGTTTTTTGTGTAACCAGTTGACAAACGGCATCAAGTTAGCGGTCAAAAGCGGTCATAAACAACACTTTGGACTGGACGTCGCAATTGGCCCCATCAAAAGTCAACAGTCTGTAAGCCGCTGACATAACTGTGAACGACTTTGCTCAAATGTGGTCTAGAACCAGTTATCAGCCATCTAGACAGAATCACTTGCCGCAAACCGACGCAAACATAAACTTGCCATAGCCAAAAGTCGGAATTATGTTGCTGCATACCCTGCAGGTGAGGGTATTTCTAGGGTAAGACATGTCTGCAATAAGACGTAGCGGCTGCTGAAGAAATTGATCTGATCGCCAACGTCGATGGGCAAAGCATGTATATAAAAGTTGTTTTTAAATTTCTGATCCCAGCTTTTAAATTTGCCATAAAACGAAAAATTTCATTAAATTCAGAAAATGTTCTCCTTCAAAAAAAGAAGCCCAAAGTATAAATTTATGGAGCATATTTTCTGTAATTTAATTCAAGTTTGCGAGCAAAGAAAACAACGAATATTTAAGTAATTTATTCGGAGTATGATTTAATTACAATGTGTATTTGGTATATGTAACATATGTTAAAGAGTGTAAACATATTCCTGCTCATGATCTAAGAAATAATACTATTTTCCCATTCAACTTGTATGTGTAGCACACATGAATATCATTTTCTAAAGAAAATGTTCGCGTATTTAAAAAAATAGTAAAATATGAAATGTTAGAATATATTTTGTGAAATGTAGGATAAATATAATTTAATCGCTCGCAATTTTCTTTAAAGTAGCCAAGACTTATTTTGAGTGTGCGAGGAAAAACAAAATAATATCTAAGTGCATCATTAGTAATATGAGTAATATTAAGTAACATGTGCCTGCCTATAAATTCTGGTTCGCATATCTCAGCTTGATCCAAGTTTGATCTAAGAGCATTTACTAGTTTCCCATTCAACGTAGAGCTTATGAGTTTTGCTATTAAGTGAGAAGTTATATAAACAGACAAGCCAATAATTGAATTAGGAAATGCAGAAGTCAGTACCTGAGTCAATCAAATAGATAGGTCTGCCCTCAATTTGTTCGTCTCATTAGGCTGAGACAAGACTATTCGATTAAGTGTGTCATGCTCAAATGAGTCGTTGGCATACCCCGCACGCTGATTAATGAGTAGATCAGTAGGGGGAAACACCTAGCTGCTGGGCCTTGCTCTGGTTTATGTGCTATTCTTGGCAGCCGCTTAAATGTCAATTGATATCAATTTGTGGCGCACGTCGAATACCAAATACTGAATACCGAGCCTTGTTGGCCTGTGTAATGCAATTTCACTGTGCGTCAAAAATGTGAAGTGTGTTGTTTTCGCCAATTAGTTACCAATTTGGCCTGCAGCCCAGGCCCATTAAGCAATGATTGTCTTTTTCTTCTCTCTGTTGTCTTTTCCGGGGCGTGATTGAGTTATTTGTATGCGAGCTGTGTTTGCGTTTTGGCCAAAAACGACTCTGGCTGCAATCGCAGCTCAAACCATATCGACAAAATGCCATTTGATGCTGTGGGGCGGGCTCCAATTTTTAGAAAGTTCGAGCGTGTGCGGTCATAAAATGACATCAAATAAGCTGTAAACCAAATGAAATTGTCTGAGCTGACAAATTATGCAATCTCTGCTAATACGTAATTTCATCAAATTATAATGCCAGACAGTTCCAGTCCATGCTCTGAGAAGCCTAGCATATTTTTGGCCTTAGCCCTGCGCGTGTCCCAGTCAGCCTTGACAAAGCACCGACAATTTGTCAGACAAATATGCAAATGCATGTATACATATATACAGTATGCACATTTATGGCCTGCATCTGTCGGATGCGTTTTGCTGCCGTGGCACTCAAACCGGTGGCAGCTTTGAAAGTTGCTGCCACTGCTCATCCGTTCCAGCACGTCCTCAAAGCGAGAGTTGGAAATCTGCAGCAGACACTTATGCGTTGCTACAAGCTGCAAGAGCTGCAAGCAAAATGAAAGTACGCTGAATGCAAGTACGCCGAGTGCTGTATCTGTATCTGAAAGATACATTTCACCAGGCCCAGCCACATTTACACGCACCGACGGCCAGCGCACTGCGACAGTTTCAGTTACAGCTATTTAACATTCGGTAATCAATAGTCTTGCCATTAATGATAGTTGTAGGTGCAGCGGTCTGTTAAATTATTAACATTTTGCTGTTGATTGATGGGTGAAAAACAGAGGCAAATAATGAGTGCTCGACTGGAAGATACCATAAAACACACAAGCCCTTAGGAAATAGCGACCTTGGCTTATTATTGTGATTATCAGTGCATAAATAAAGTCTAAGAAAATTAGTCTCGGGAGAAAGTGTCCAATAAGTGATATATTCTAAGAATAATTGTACTAAAAATATCATGAGTCTATAAACAAATTCTTCTATGAGTTTCGTAATGTTATGAAAACAAAAAACAGGAAATCGATATCGATTATTATCGATTTACTGAGAAGAGTGCAAGTTATCGCTGATTTGAGGCAAATTTTGATATGAAATCTCTTCAAACATAAGGCCTATAAGAGAGTTTATAAACTTGTCGAGGTTGGATCAGCTTTCTTCTGCCTGTTGCATACATCTGCAGCAAACCAATATGCCCACCCGCTGAGTTGAGGATGACAGTTGCCGACTTTCGTGTAGGCGCATGACGCACACTCGCACGGCCGTTTCTCCAAAAGAAAGTGTCATATGATTTGTTTTTTTATTTGAAGCCGGGTTCGATTCTCTGCAGAGCTGTTAATTGAGGTAGGCCAGCTGTTAACTGCTTATATAACAGAGGCCGTCTAACAACAATTCAGGCCCTAGCCAGCGCGTTCGCGCGATTTCCACTCAAAGTCCAATAAATGAAGAAAGACAGAGCAGCACAGAGAGAGCAGGAGAGAGCAGGAGAGAGAGAGATAGGGAGAAAGAGAGAGGGAGAGAGGCACGTAAACGCGACGACAGTGAAATGTTAACAATTGGTTGGAATATTTAACTTTAAGTTACGCTTCAGTGTGATATTTTTAAATCGCGCGCAAAATCTCGCGTAATTATTTAACCGAATTAATTGTTTAAACGCCGTTACATAGTTCACACAGAAACTCACTTTCGATCTGAACAATTTGCGCTTTTTAATTAGTTTTGTTTCTCTAGTCTGGATTTACCTCTTATATAATGCTCATTAGTTGAGTTCGCTGCAGCTTGTGGTAAATTGATTTGCTTTACACATTTCGGATCGGACTTGGCTTATTTGAAGTTTCGTTGAACTTTTGCGCAATTCCACAAAAAGAATTTTGTTGAAATTTTACGATTTTCGGTTTTTTGATTTTCACAGCAAATGAAACTTTCGTTTGGGTTGTTGTTGTTTTTTTTTTTGTTTTTTTTCTGTCGTTCGGAAATTGGAATTGCAATCGGTTTATGGTTTTGCGTTGGTGAAATGCCTGCAACGAGCGACTAACTAACTAACCGACTAACCGACCGAAAACCCGTTCACTTTGCGCCAGAAATTCGATTCATCACTTTGGACACGCTGTGTCAATGCAATTGCTGCGTTTTTGTTTTCACTTTGCAGCCAAACACAAGAGTTCACTTTCGGCAGCTGGCAATGATTTGTGATATTTGTTGTGTTTTATTTGGCATTTAATTTGAATCGATATATATCTGAACTGAACCCGAAAATGTGTGTGTGCTTTCGTTTCCACCAAAAATTCCGTACGCGTCGTGGCAGCGATTGCGACTGGCGTGTAGCTCGCCAAGAGTTGGACTGTCGGGCGAAAGCCCCAAAGCCAACGGCTCTGCTGTTGACGGCGGGTGCGATCAACCAGTTTGCAGTCGTTACCGTAACGTAACGCCTTACGTTGCCCCGTCACGTCACAGAGAGTCACAGCTGTTGGCCACGGCTGGAGTCGAAGTCGAAGCTGGAGATGGAGCTGCAGATGGAGCTGGGGCTGGAGCTGGAGCTGCTGCTACTGGCGCTTAAGAGCAATGTCGCGACTTGACATTGACGTCGTAAACAGTGTGACACAGTCGGCGTGCAGCAGTTTTCTCTTTTACACGGAAAAATTGAAATGCTAATAGAAAACGGCAAGTGTGAAAAACTAAAGCGAGTGTTAATTTAGCGCTGTGCACAATTGCTTGTCAATGCAGCGGCCCAAAGATTATAAATCTATTGAAAATGTGCTCCATCATCGCAGGCAATAGCCGTTGGACGCCCTGCGCCGTATTTTAACGGAAATGTTTAAGCCAGTTGGGTCATTAATTTGACTTTCGTTTTTCATTCGCAAAAACTAGCTGCAGCTGCAGTCAGCTTAAGCTGCAAATTTAAGCCATCAATTTGCATAGTTCGAGGCCGGTAATTAAAATAACCCAGATCAAAGCAAAAACTAGCTGAATGTGAACTGGAAAAGTTTATTACAAGCTCTGCTCTTCAGCTTGGCTGATAGGTATTTGTGATATGCTTTCGGGCTTGCAAAAAGATTTAATTGCGAATTAGTCGACTGTTAGAGCTAACATAAAGTCGAAGAATAGGAGAAAACGCCAAGCATTTCCTACAGTTCGATCCGGTTTTTGGAAATAAGCCGACAATTCCTTCATTCAAAATCTAAATTTATTAATTTTCTTCATATTTGGTTTCAATTTGAGTAATTTTTAAAAAGATACTAGGAGTGTCAAGTATGTTGTCCTTTCTTTATAGAACATTTCAGAGTAATCAAAAAAATAATAATATTAATTATAATTATAATTATTTTTAATCTTTTCTATGTAGATTTAATTGCTAAAATAGCTTAAGCCATATTTAAACATAAGAAAAAGAATTTTATTTATAAAATTTGCATATTTAGTATATTTTTCCATACATAAAATTAAAATATTATTCGTTTTTATATTTACATTCAATTAAAATTGTTGAATTTTTAAAATTTTTATGAATTTCACCCTTTTTCTATATATGGAACTTTAAGGGAATATTTGAAATAACATATAAAATTAATATGTGATTATTTTTAAACATATATATTGAAAATTTATTGCTTAAGTAACATGAACCTTCATTTAATATAACTAAAATAATTCCAATTTAAATATTTTGAAAAGTGTTCCCTGCATTTTCTCATCGCATTTAATTTAAGAACATTTTGTCCTTATTATAAGAAGCATTTTGGAAGTATGTAATGTTATTATTTTAATTTGATTTCAAATAATTCATCTTATATTATTTCAGCCAGTATTACTCTGAATTAAGTGAAAAAGTGACAGTTAGAGTTTCACAAACTAGTTCACAGACTTTGATATATTATTGGGGTGTATATATTTATTTATTGGCCAGTGAACGAGTTTCTTTGGCCGGTTTACGCACGAGAAAGTCGTCGCTCAGAATTGTCCAACTAAGCGGCACATTGTTATTAATTTCTGGTGACAAACGCTGCCATTGAGCTGTGCCTAACGAGCAGAAACTGAGTGGAGGCCGTCCTCCTGCCCTGGGCATGACCACGATAATTCAAAGGCAACAAAATCAAATGCCAAAACGAAACGAAAGTCACTTAGTTTATGGAACCGCAGAATCAATAACCGTTCGCTCTCAATAACCAAACAACCCAAACTCGAACAAAGCCCTTGCAATGTTTCTTTTTGCCTCGAATTGGGAGCATTCTGTGGATGGAGCATGGAATGCGACCTGCAACTATTGGCCAATAGTTGGGAAAGTGTCGAAAATTCATTTAGCGTGTATTAGCCAAAAAGCTGACAACTGACAACTGCCAACTGCCAACTGCCAACTGGCGACTGGCACAAGCAAAGAAAGCACTCGAAGAGACTCAGTGACTGGAACTGACATTTGTTTATGTGCCTTGAGATGGGAAGATGGGTCCATGACTCATTATGTGCTGGGGCAGATTTAAATCTCTGCCAAATTGTTGCCGGGCACAACCTTTTGGCATGGATCAGCGCTTCCAGCAGTTAGTCGTATCAGCTGTTGGCCAAGTGGAAGTGGAAGTTAGCCGCAAATGCGTTGAACTTTGTCAATATTTGCGAACCTTTTTTTTTTCTACTTATTTCATTTTATCTCTGTGCATTTCATTTCTATTCATTAATTTCACTTTTACTCATAAATATGCTAATCATTTGCTCACGCTTCAATCGAACCGTCGAGCTTGGGTTTCGGTCTCGGTCTCGGTCTCTGTTTCGGTCTGGCCTCAGACTCGAGCGGCTTTGTCAGATTGATTTTCATAACAAATCTTTTGACTGCCTTTTGGACTCTCATCTGAATCGATTATTATTACGTTTGACACTTGAGGGCAGTTGGCTAACAGTCTAGCAGTTTTGTAGAATGCGTGCCGCCCGTCAGCTTGCGTTACGCAATTTGCCTAAGAAGAAAGTTAAATAACATTTCTTTGGCTCTTTATTTTTCACGTTTTTTTTAACTTTTTACTTTCCATTGTTAGGCTGAGATCTCTTGAGTCTCCAATCATTTTTAGCATATGGCTGACAACTCTCGTTAGTGACATCAGTTGGGCTGCCCAGCCCAGCCCAGCCCAGCCCAGTTGGGCAGCCAAAAGCGAACCAAAGACAAAATAAATAAACAAACACTTTCACAAAACTGCAAGTGCGGGAAGTGCGACAGCTCAGATACCCTAACTATGTAATTTAGAGTCCCAAGCACATAGCTATTTTTAATTAATATTTTTCCTTTTGTTTTTTTTTGTGTGGACCCGCCAAGTTGTGGGCAGCTCTCACCTTTTGTTGGTGCGTGTCGCTGGTCACATTCGAGTCGCGCGGGTGTTAGGCTCCAAATGTGTTGTTGATGATGATGATGACCTTTCGGCTTTGCCGGCCTTATTAAGACATTACAATTGAGGCAAGCGTCATAATATTGAAATTAAAATTCCAAAAAGACCACCGAGTGTGCCCTTTAAGTGCCTTATCAAGTGGTCAATTCAAGCACTGAGCAAACTTCAATTGAGCCAGCTTAGCCGCATAGCCTGGGCTCAAGTGACTGTGATTGATGGGTCCCCGGCTCGGTTGCCTATCAATATACAAATTTGGCAAGACACACATTAACATTTGGCCTCAGCTCGGAATTGCGGAAGTGCGGAAGTGCGTGTGGCAACATAAAACCAGTTGCCTTACGGTCTCCAAGCGCTCTTCTTCTTTATTTGGCTGCCACATAAGTATCCATATGCAGGTCCCACGCTCGCCCCGTACACGCACGCATTTATATTTATCACAGTTGGCTCACATTTGCGCCATTTAATGGCCCATTGCTCTTAACGTTATGCTTTCCTACATGCCTGGTTGAGTCTACATCAACTTTTGCCAACAGCTTTAAAGGGCAGCAGTCACAGCTGCCAAAGGTTAAATGTGCAGCAGGTGTACCTCGAGGTGAGCAGCTCGACTCTGTGTGTGTGTGTGCGGAATAAACATATGTAAGTACATATTATCTGGCCAGAATAATTAATAAAAAAGTAGCTATCATAAAGTTGCGCACATTTATGTAGCACACATCTCAAATGCTTTAAAGGTACAAGCACAACATACGCTTAGTCTTGCTATACATCTTGATGTATGCATTTAAAAATGTACCTAAAACGATTGAGCTAGTCCAAGAAGATTGTGTAAGCTGTTTGCTGAGTGTAACTTGGTGTAAATATATGTATGTTAGTTTATTTACTTATTATTTATTTATTACATAAAAGTTTAATAAAATTGAGTGAGCAAGCGATTATCATTAAAGTTCTTTACAGAATGTAACTTAAGTGCATAAGTGTTTATTTTTATGTAAATTATTATATTATAGCCTCTTCATATTGATGTTTGCACTAAAAAGGGTTAATAAAACGATGCAGCTACTCCACGAAGATCGTTAAAGCTGTTTGCTGAATGTAACCCAGTTTTAATCTTTACCCGTAAATGTTATTTAGCATTAGGTATAAGTTCTAGATAATCCTCTCCAACCATCTTGCAGTATGTATGAAGTATTGATTGAGCTAGTTAGCAAGTATCACTAAAGCTCTTTGCACAATGGGATTAGTGTTATACTCAATGAGTATTGTCATAAAGACTCGCTATACAAAGATCGTTCAATGTGTTTGCAGAATGTATCCCAATGTAAATATATACAAAAATGTTATAATTCATTTACATATAATCAAAAGTTTATATATAATCAATTGGCATTCAAACAAATTAAAAATCCATGGGTTAAAAAAAATTGTTGAACCAAAAACCGTTTCGTTTTTAAAGTCAACCTTTTTTGATGCTGTTTTGGCATATTTCGGCCAAATAATGTCCGATTGTGGAATTTTATACCATTTTGGACTCGTAAGGATCAGTTCTATCGAATGGCATCAAAAAAATTAAAATCGAAATTTCAACCCAAATCGGCCAAAAAGCAAGGGGTTACATCACGTTTTTTCTCAAAAACGGGGTCGGTTCAAAAATCAAAACTTTTTTGATGGTATATTTTGAATATCTCGGGTAAATATTATATGATTTTGCAATTTTATACCTTTTTAAATTCATACGGATCCCTACTATCAAATGGCATTTAAACAAATTAAAAATCAATGGTTTAAAAAAAGTTGTTGAACAAAATACGATTCGTTTTTAAAGTCAACTTTTTTTGATGCTGTTTTGGCATATTTC